TTGGGACGGGTTGGGGCTTTGGGGACGGTGTGGGGCTTTTGGGATGGGGTGTGGCAGTCCACCCCCCCACCCTGTCCCCCAGTGTCCCCAGCAGGACCAGGCACCAGTCCCCAGAGCGGGGGTGGCGGGGCTGAGTAACCAGTCTCCAGTGCACAGACTTCAATTGCTCACATTCGTTTATTATTTTAAAACACTGACGAAACACATCACACCATGACCTATATATATAAATTTACTTTCCCACAGATATAAATTTATATATATAGGACCTTTAAACCTCTGTATACTCAGGACACAAAGTTCCAGAATAGGTTCACTGGCTACAACAAAAGTATTTTTGTTATGAAAACACAAAGAGGAAGTGTGAATATCAAAAACGTGGAAAAAAGAAACTAAAAACAAGTGCAAAATGAATGAAAGTGCAAAAAAGCTTTAGTTATCATAACGCTCCTTCCAAAATATGCTCCCCCCCAACACACGCTTTCCTCCCTCTGCGGCCGAGCGCGCCTCAGGCCCCAGAGGGAAGGGGTGGATGGGAGGACAGTAGCCAAGCTGCAGCCCCCAGGTCTTTCCCCCTCCTCTGCACCAAAGGGTCCCCCCCGGAGGGTACGGACTGGGGAACAGAGGAGCAGAAGTGGCCGAGTCACATCCCCCTCACGCTCCCGCCTCTTCCCCAACGCCCCTCGTTGCACTCACGTCCCCAGATCCGCCTCTGCAGGTGGCAGCTGCCCCAAGCCCTCAACCCTCCCAGACTGTATGGAGGGTTTCTTTCTTTTCTAAAAGTGCTTGTGATCGACATGGAAATCGCCGGAGGAAGGCCGAGGCCGGCAGCTGCGCTCTGGCGAGGGGGGCACGGCACCTTCCTTGCTGAGCTTCAGGCTGGCTGCTCTCACAGAAATGGAGACCTTGGCCTCACACTGTCACGACACTGCCCATTTCCATGAGGAAGGAGAAACACCTTCCTGAGAGGCTCCAACTGCTCCCATGCACCTGGAGTCACCTGCGGACCAGCTGCCCCAGAAGACACCCCGCGCCCGAGGCTGGAGCGTGTGGTGGGACATCTCCCACACCTCCAGCTAAGCCCTGCCAGCACCATCTGTAGCAGCAAGGGCAGGAATGACAGGAGCACAGGCTCGGGGGCCTCCACTCAAGAAAACATCTGACTTGAAAAATTCTTCATTGACTTGGAAATTTTGGCTGCAGTTACATCTCTCAGAAAGACCCCAGAGAGGTGCCTGTGGACCAGACACAGCCCCATTGTCCTCTCCGGCTTCTTAGTGATGTGGCAGTGGACATACCCGTGAGGAGTTTGGTCAGGCAACAGGGGAAGGATGAAAAACTTTGGTGCCTCTGCCTTGGTCACAGCTGCCCTTGATGCTCCCTGAGGGGGGACTCCCAATCAATGCTCTGGGGGGATGGAGGACCTGCCAAGGCCAGGGGTGCAGCAACCTTCCTTCTCCTGGTTTCCCTGCTGGGACCAGAGACAACTTCTGCTCACAAAGGACACATCGCCCGAGACCCTGGGACCAGGGCCTGCTGCCTCCACAGCCACACAGACCAGCACATTAAAACAGCGACACATCAACGGCAGAGGAAATGGTGTCGTGGTACTTCCACGAACACCCATCCACACGTACACACACAATGCTTTGGGTTTGGTTTGGTTTTAAAGGAAAACAAGAAGGAGGTTATAAGTTTTAACAGTAAATAGCCCTTGACCACCTACAAACCCTGTAACTCTCTCACCCAGATGAATCCAGAGGCTTTGTACCCAAACAGTCATGTCAGCCCCCCCGAGGGGCTGACGGACGGATGCTCAAGAAGCCGATAAGTGTGTGCGACAGAGCCTCTCACATCTCCCATCACCCTTCCAGTGGGGCTGGTTCTCCTGCTGGCTGCTCCCCGCGCAGAGCTCAGACCCAGCAGAGACCCGGCGTCCAGCCAGACCCCCCAGCCAAGGGGGAGCACCTTGCCAGTCCTGTCCAGTTTGTGTCTGTTCTCTTAGAGGGAGGTCGAAAGAGCCCAGGTAAGGCAATACCCCACGGGGACAGCTTCCTGCTGCTGCCCATGGCCGGCACAGTCTGACACAGGTCCCTCCGCCTGTTTTGCTGATGCCCAGGCACAGCACAGCTTGACTGCACCCAACAGCAGAGCAGGAGTTGATGGTGTTGGTTGTAGCTAGTCCTGGGGGACAGCCACAGCTTCTCTTCCCCTTCAGCAGGGATCTTCTGAGCTCACCACCACCTCTGCTCCCCAGGGGCAGCCCTGTGGGAGACATGGCTCTCCATTCGTCACGCTACTTTCAGAGCTGACACCTGGGTAGCAGCCCCTCGGGCAGCACTCAGTCCCTTTCCCAACAGGAGGAAAGATTTAGCATGAGAGAACAGAGCAGATGAGATGAGATGCTTTCATAAGATGTTTCCTTACACGCTCAATAACCACATCCTGTGCAAGGGTATCAAGAGCTGTTCCAAGTCTCAGCACCATTCGCAGAGTCTCACAGCTGAAGGTCCCAGGGCTCCTCCTCTTCTCCCCCAGCACACACTGGCCCAGAAAGAGACTCCCCATCAACTGAAGAGACCAATTTCGGGACCATTTACTGCAGATCAAGGGTGACTTGGAGAGTGACTGTGAGACACGGCTGTTCCTACCCACTCCCCCTCTCTCCACAGCTGGCCACACCGCGGTGCTTGAAGAGACGGAAGAGAATAAAAAAGGACAGGAGAGGGAGAGCTGCCTAAATCAAACCCAAGCATTGACAAAACAAATACACCGACTAATTGCAAGTCCTGCGTGAAGAGCAAGCAGCAGAGTTTCAAGATCAGGTCAAATGTGACCCCAAATACTCAATAAGAAAGAGTCAAAATGCTACATTTCCATGGGAAGCCTAGAACAGATTGACCCAGGTGTGACAGCGGCTCCCAAGGCAGTGCTGCTCCAAGACACGTTGCTGGTGCACTTTGCTACGATCCCTTCATCCCTGTCTTCGGGCATGGGGAAAGGGGGGGGAAAATTGTTTTGGTACTGAGATGTCATTCTTGGGAATGGGAAAGAAAGTAGACATGGGACTCGGATGCCATCACCGCGGACTGTGGAGATCCCTCGGGGTAGGTGGCCGCCCTCCAGCACCGCATTGCCACACCACTGCTCCCCCGGCACCCACAGCAGGCGGCAACACCACGGCAAGAGCAGTGCAGGTGCCACCAGGGCACACAGGGACGATCAGAAGCTGCCTGGGACTCTGCCAGGACCCCCCAGGCACATTGGTTTTCCTGGCCGTGGAGTCCGAACCAACTCAGCCTCTCCCCCATCACAAGGGACAGTGTTACACGGGCATTCCCAAAGAGCCCGCACCCTTGTCGGAAGGGTGCTATGTTACTAAAAGGACAGAAGAAAAACGCAGTTAACTGCTGAATTTCTTTTAGCTCTGCAAATAAGGAATCCAGGGACAGCAGAAGATCCCCCTCTTCAGACAGCAAAACCCGGGGGCCTCGCCAGGACAAAAAAGGGGGAGAAGGCGGCTTGGCAGGATCGAGTCAGCCAACACAGGAACGCCTTCAGAAGCGAGCCGTGAATCTGCCTACGGAGGAACGGATGCTTCTTGTCCTTAGCAGCTGTCTCCACTCTAGAAAGGGCCTTGCTCCTAATACGTGGACCAAAGAGGATCCGACTCTCCTTTGCAAAGGATTTTTTAATTTCTGCGAAGGGAACAAGTTAACCAAGCACCCTTTCTCCCAGAGACGTGCTGGCCAAGACAGCTTGAAGCGCAAGAGGAATGGAGCTTGTTCTGCACCTGCCCAGCCCCAGCGCCATGGGGGCCTGGGGCTGCTGCATTAGAGTAAAGAGGAATAAAGCAGAGACGTCAGCTGTGGGCAGAGCCCACATTGGTCCCTGGAAGGGGCAAGAGGTGGGCCACCAGTTCCCAGTACAGTGAAGGGGCAAAGCAAAGTCATCATTTGGCCTTAAAAGGCAAAGTCAAAGGAATTCAGAGAAAAAGGCAAAGTGAGCAGAAGCTCCTTGAGAGCATCCCTTGGAAACGATGTTAACACAAGCTCCCCCAGAGGAACACATCGAGGAGGGGGAAAAAATTCTCTCTTTCAGCTGCTGAGCAAAGCCAAGATCAGCCTTTACACGGGTACAAGCACATACGCAGGCAGTCAGTCCCTTCCCTCATCTGGGCAACTCGAGTAGTGGTGTCAGCCCCTGTCCGCTACACTGCTCCCCCGTCCCTCAACACACCCCCATGAATCAGTGCAGTCACAGCAGGACACGGGGAGCAGAGCTGTCCCGCCAGGACAGGCTAGTCCCATGTCAACCCTCCGTCCCCGCAGCCGCCCCTGAGGCTTGGGGTCAGCCTGTACCCAGCGCTGGAGGAGAAGGGCAGTGTGGAGGGGAGAGGATGGGGGATAGACTGGTGGGAGAGAGGAGATGTGGCATCTGAGGGGACATGAGCAGGACATGATAAGCTGCGGTCAGTTGGAGGGGAATCTCTGTCCTGACCAGACAGTTTGGCAGCACCGGTGCTGAGGGAGGGTCCCGATCGGGCCAAGAAAAGTCACTTTAAGGTGTCATCAGCATTCTTGAACATGAGGATGGCGTTGTAGATCTTGAGTGCTGGGCCCAGCTTGACACTCATAATCTTGACGATGTCAGCCTGCGTCAGCAAGAGGAATGCCTCGCCATCGATCATCTGGAGAGGAGAGCAGGGACAAAGGCACTCACCGAAAACGCAGGCTGTGGCTTCCTAGGGACAGCCAGCACAGGCACAACCTGGGGATGTGCACAGACACACTCACCCTCAGCCAGGTGCCACAGACGATCCCAGGCAGGGGCCACCCACAGCACTCCCAGCCTGTCCCAGATAAGCCAGACCTGGGATCTCACGTGCCCCAGAACAGAGCATACAGGGGCAAAGGCCCTTCCCGCGGCCGCCCCCGGAGCTCACCCTGCAGCCAGCCCGGGCTTCTGTGCCAGAGCGCAACGGGCACAGCACACAGCCAGCAGGCAACCTGCTCCGGGCAAACACCCGTCCATTCCCCACTCCAGGTCCCGGCACGCGTGGAGGCTGCCCCCAGCTCAGCTTCACATGCCTGAGTGCCCTTAAATCACAGGAGCTGTTTACAAACAGGCTGGGACATTTGCTGTACCCAGTGCGCCCAGGATCAGCCTGCCCTGGGTGCACTGCGCGTGCAGGGAAGCAGCCTCTCTGCGCATCTGTCCCCAGGAGGGTCCAAAAGCAATGACCCTGGCTGACAGGTGGCAGTGCCACCCAACTGCTGTGCTGGTGAGAGGATGCAGGCGGGAAGGATGAATGGATGAGGAGTAAGCAGCTTCCATCGGGAGGTGATGGTGCTATTGAGGCTGCAGTGCCATCCTCCTGCCGCTCCCCCATCCCTCCACAGAGGGGCCCTCCCTCAGCCATGCTGGGAGAACAGGGCAGCACAGCTCCTTGGGGGTCAGCATCCCACCACCGTATCTGCACAGGCAGACAGCTGCATGCTCAAACGCAGTGGGGCTGCTGCCCCCAGGGCTGCAGGGTGGGATCACGGCCAGGTGCTGGACATGCTCTCAGCGTTCAGCAGCAATCCGTTGCAGGAAGGCCACTGGCCAATTCCTCCCTGCCCTGTCCTTGGCCACCTGCACTCATCCTCCCGCCCTTCTCACCTCATCCTTGAAGAGCTTGGCTTGGTCCTCGCAACCCGTCAGAGTCTGAACAAAGCTAAAGACCTTGGAATAAACAGAGAAATGACAAGACAGAAGCAATGTTTTTCGCTGGACACCTGCCATGAGCCCACATCCTCACTTCCACAGAGACATTTTGCACCCTGTAAGGTAACACGTGGCTGTCCGGGCAAAGGCTGCGGTTGCAGCATGCTCCCTTGCCTAGAGATCGCCCTTGGACCAGGGCACAGGCACTGGCCTCCTCCAGCCCCAGAGCAGCAAATGCTACAGCAGCTTCACCTCCAACAAGCCGTCTCCAGCACAGCCAGACGATTCCCACTGAGGGGCTGGGGCAGGAGAGGGGCACACAGGAGGGTAATGGGGAAATCAGGCTGGGCTGACTGCTGGGGCTGGTGCCAGATTCCAGCTACCCAGGACTTAAGAGGGGCCATTGCAGATGCCTAAGAAAGTGAACGGAGGTGACAGTGAAGACTTCGAGGTAAATATTTCTTTTGTAGAGAAACAGTGAAGTGACTTCTTATCTGCAGAGTCTATGGTTTAATTTTTTAGCTTGGCAAAGATGAAACTGGTTTCTTTGGAAAACTGTAACATGCTAAATGAAGAGACTGCTGTTTGCCTTCACCTGCCCGCCCTGAGCTAGTGTCACATTCAAGCCAAGCAAGAACCTGGTAGTTCTGCACATGCTTCCCAGCAGCTACCATCAGGGCTCATGTCTGGCAGCTGTCTCACTAGCCTTCTCGCTAGCCCAGGGAAGTGGCCACTGAAACACCTCCATGCCTGCCACATGTACCATGGTGCTGCACAGCCAGGAAGAGCGCTCCCAGCCATGCCAGTGGGTTAGGAACCAGCAAACAGTCTTCAAAACCATCTTACCTCATCAATGGTCCACTTGGCCACTGTAGTTGCCGTGATGCCAGCCACCCCTGGCAGGAGTTTGCAGTGCTGCTCCCAGCAGAGCGACAGGGAGCGGTCGGGGTGGGCAGACAGGGCAGACATGAAGAGCGACTGGTGCATGTTGTCTGAAGAAATAGCTGGCAATAGAAACGCAAGATGCAATACAAGATAGAAGGACAAGAACATCCCATCCCATCCTACAAGCCTTGGGGAGGGTCCCATTCAGGGAAGGGCCCAGGGCTGGCAGCAGATGGTCTCATGGGTCCAGGTATCAAGAGCTAGTGGTTGTCCCTTGAATTAATAGGATATCAGTGTATCCAAGTTTTCAGTTTGGTGAGATTGGGGATGGCAGGGGAAGAAGTTTAGAGATAGGCTTGGATTTGCCTTGTTCTCATCACCTTAAGTCGTTCATTTTCCATACCAAATTAGATTTCAATGTCAAATTTCACACCAGAATGCCATCCCGTATCATTCAGTTAATTTCACGTTTTTAACAAAGCTTTTCCCTTTCTATCTGCTCCGAGGAGTCAAGGACAGCTCCCAAGATGAGATTCTCATCATTCACCCCCAGCACTGGGGTAGGCAGCAGGACTGCTCACCGTAAAATGGATACTGGCTGGAATAAATGTTGGTCATTGTCTTATGTCAGCCATCAGAATTAAATGCCAAGCAAACTGTTCAGCATCAGTTTCTGCACTGCAAGAATCATTTGGCACTTCACAGCCACACTCATGTTTTGGGGCACAGCAGCCACAGGATGAAGGCACAGCATCCCTGTCTGAAGAGGACAAAGCGCCAGGGAAAATGCACTGCCACAGAGAGGGGATCCTAATTCCCTGCCCTAAAGCACTCAAGGAGTCACAGACATAAACCAAGAGACATGACGAGGGACCTAGCAGAGCTCTGGTAAGAGGCAGGGACATTCCTTGTCAGATGGTCAACCTTGGTAGTCGACCACAAGCTCCTCACTGGTGCTCACCTGTGTGAGGACTGACTGAGTGAGCCAAGGGAGCCCTGCCTCCAACAGCCGCCACCCCAGCTCCTTGAGCCTTGCCCCTGTGATGACACCGCGGCAGAGGACGGCACTTACTCTGGAAGTCTTCCTGCTGGATCTTCCGGTACTTTGGAGGTCGCCCTCTAAAGAGACAGGAAGACTGATTTCTAACTGGGTTGGGACTGGCCCAAGAGCCCTCCCCCACACAGCACAGAGCAGCAATGCCTTGGCAGTGGGAGCAAGGATTACCTCTCAGACCCTGACCCAAAGGGTTGACAGCTAAAGATATAAACATGGGAAGAAAAACCAAGAGAGGTGCCCAACAGAGCTGGAAGGACACATGCCAGCTGCCAGCAACCATGCTCCCCCTGTGGTCAAGGAGCCTCTCCGGCTTGGCCATCCCTCCCAGGGATGGCAGTCGCGGCACAGGGGCCCTGCACTGCTGCACGGGGCTCATCAGGCTCGCCCCTACCTCCCATGGTGCCGAGATTTCTTTCGCTGAGGGAAGCCAATCAGGTTCCTCTTGCGAGTTGAGGCCTCGGTGTCAGACAAGTCCGCCTTAAGCCTGCCCTGGTTCTTCTCTGCCAGCGGGCACCCTGAGAGGCAGTAATGGGCCGTGAATCTCCCAGTCACGTGTCCCGACCCGTCGCAACCCGGCGTGGGGCACTTCCTAGAGAAAAGAGAGGAGGCAAGCGATGGATCTGGCTCAGAGCAGCATGGGGGGGCGATCCACCAGGGCCACCCTTCCGCCTCTGAGCAAGGGAAGCCGTAGCCCTGGCCATGGAAAGCAGAGTAAAGACGTGCTGAACGAACTCCAGGGTGAGGGCACTGAACACAGCACTTGAGGTGGGGCCTCACTAGTACAGAGGTACAATCACTTCCCTAGTGCTGTTGGCCACAGTATTTCTACGAACACCCATCCCACCTCCTCTGCTGCCATCACAGCGAGCCTGTGCACGTCACCACAGTGCAGATCAAGCAGGTCATTCGGGTTCACAGAGTCTCCATCTTCCCTTCCTTGCCCCCACAGACATCCAGACTAGCCTCAGACTGAGGAGGAAGCAAGTGTCACAAGCGTGGCCAGTAGAGAAACCCCTGGGAGCCAGACCTGCCTTCCCCATCCTCACGGATGCTCCTCTTGACGCTAGCCTGCCGTGCTGGGGTTGGCACTCCACTGTGCCCGGTTTCCCCTGGAAAAGGTCATGCAAGCGACTGACTGAGCTGGGGGAGATGCACTTGTCCTTCTCAGGACTTCACAGCTCACAACCTCACAGCGAAAGGCATCCATGAAGGGTGGGAGGAACATTGTCCTTGCAGCTGGTATCAGTGAACAGCACCTTAGAGGCACTGTCCCCTGTGTAGCCCATATGTCCCCACAGGTACATGGGCACATAGGGCACCCCCAGGGGCTCCGGGTGCTGCAGGACAGAAGCTCACAGGAGTTACACTAGCCGTGGGCTCCAGGCCACCGTGGGGCCTGGCCTGGGGAGGGCAAGGGCTGCCCCTAAGCGGGGGGCAGAGCCAGGCGTGGGGTGGGCGCAGGGAAGGGCTGGCTGCTGGTGGGGGTGGCGGGGAGGGAGGAGCGGAGGAAGGGCTGGCAGGGAAGCTGCGCCCCTCTGAGCTGCGCTGGGGAGCTCACCTGTGGTGAAAGCTGTACTTGGAGCTCTTGGTGTGAGGGATGCTCTTGCAGCCCAGGGTTGGGCAGCCCCCGTGGGCAGAGGAGGCCGGTTCCTTTGGCCCTAGACCAGGAGAAGAAACAGGAGAGAGACTGTCGTGGCTGCAGCCCCAGGCAGAGGCAGGACTCTGGCGTCCCTGCCTGTGACAAACAGGGAAGGCTCTTACAACTGACAACTCCATGGAAAAACCCTTCCTCCCTGCCCATCCTCGGCCAGCTCCTGCCCTCCCATTTCTGCGCATGGGCAGGTGGCGGTGGCAGTGGGGATCAGGCATGCTTTGGCCTTGGTATGAGGGACTGACCCAGGTGCAGGACTTACTGAGAGGAGGCTGCAGTGGGTGTCCAGTTTTTGAGCACCAGCCTATGGGGTGGATGTCCGGATGATCCGCATCAATCCAGAAATCATAGACGTGGCTCCAGCCATCAAAATGGATCTAGGGAGACAAGCAGAGAGGTCATCCTTCAAACCTCAGGGCACCTCCCTGAGGAGCTCTGGAGCCCTCTGAGCTGCAAACAAGCAGCAGGGTAGAGCTGAACTGTGGCACAAGGCTCTGGGACCTGGCACTGGGACCTGCCATCCTCCACACGGTGCGCTTCTACACACTTTGTCCACACACTTTGCTTCTGCAACTGGCAGAGAGTTGGGAAGGGCAGGAGCAAGCCAGCACAGTGCCTGGACACAGGCTCGGCACCGAGACTCCAGCACTCACCTTTATCCTGTGGTCTTCCACATCCTCCACACTGGCCACTCGGATGAATGAAGGAGTCCTCCTGTCCACTGCCTCCAGCTTCATGTTGACCAGGAAGCCATGGGGTGGGCGCTGGGGCCAGGAGGAAACCAGGTCAGCGGGGAGCAGGGCCGTGCTTCAGGCTCCCACACCCCTCAGCAGCTTTCCCTGCAGCGTGTGCTCCTCAAGCCCAGCTCCCAGCCCCAGCCTGTCCAGGTAAGAGCCATCCCAGCTCACAGGAGAGAGTGGGGACAGGCTGCCCGGATCTGAGCTGTGTTTTAACAAGACGGGAAAGCTGTACCCAAAGGAAGAAGGTCTCTAAGAGACGGATTTTGGGGCTCTATATTGCAGCCACACTTCGCTTGACACAGCTGCTGTTGTTGCAGTCGGAGACAACTATCAAGTAATGCTAAACAAGTTCCCATCACCCAGCTCCTGTCTAGCTAAGGGGATGGTCATACTTTCCATTTTTCCCAGTTTTGAACTATTTGCCCAGGATAGTCCTGACTTCTGAACCTTGAGTGTAGATCCAAACCCCAGGCCTGTGGCAGGAGTATGCTGAACATCACTTGACTTTTTGTAAAAGCAAAGACCTGACAATGGAAAAAAACTGAATTCCTGCCCAGGCACAGTGCAGCAGATGATGTGGCACTCACCACTTTAAAGGCCCAATCTGGGACAGCAGATGCACCAGTTTCCTTTAAGTACTTTTCCCAGGTGAAGTTGTCAGGGTCAGGATAATCTAGAAGGGGGAAGATGCAGAAGGTGAAACATGCCTGCAGGAAGACGGCAAGTACACTGGAACGTCCTACTGCCTTGAAGGACCAACCAAGCCTGTGCCAGGCACACGGGAACCTGAGAGACATCAATAAGTGCTACTATTTTCTCATGGACCATGAAATCCAGGGTACAAAGAAGCAGAAACATCTGGGTCTGCACAGACAGCTTGGGTCCCCCTCGTGTCTCCACTTGGCCCGGCACAACCATGCTGCACCTGAGCACATGTACAGGAGCCTCAGCAGCAGTGTGCCACCTCCCTGGCTGTGGCCTTGATGAAGGAAACCACCTGGGCCTGCAGACAGGCAAGGGCTGTGTGGTTTGCACCCCCAGGATCCCCATGGCACCCTGGGAAGCCTGTCCCCAAGGGGATCCACCAGTGAAGGCTGTGCTCCCGGGCCGCTGACTCACCTTGAGGAGGTGTGAGGGGTTTGCCATGTTCCTGACACCATCCAACTGGGTGGATGTATGGACTGCTGGGGTCACACCTGGAAAACACACCCAAACTCTTAAAGAGGTCTGAGATACCTGGTTCATCACCACCAGACAGTATGGGCCATGAGGGCCCAGGGCAAAAGTCCCTGCAGAAGCTGAGGTCTTCTACAGCACCCTTGTCCCTGAGTGACCCTGGGAACCATGGGCCGTAGCAAGGCAAGGGCTAGAGCGGGGTGACTCCAGCTCAGCAGGGCAGGACACAAACATGATCTGGGTGCAAGCTCTGCTGCAGAGCTGCCCAGGGAACAGCAATGCTTTGCTGTAAGCGGGGAGACAGGCTGTGCCTTTCACAGCTCGGAGGGGTGAGACCTGAGCAATGGCAGGGGGCTGGGGGGCTCATGTCCTGGTCATGGCTTCCAGAAGATCACAGCCCACTCAGGTGCTACTGCTTCACAGGTCTGCCCTGGGACAGAGCAGGCCAGCACCAGCCAGAGAGGAGCAGCCAGAGACAGAAACTGCTGCAGCCCCACAGCTCCTCAGGGTGAGAAGTAAGAGAAGGTCAGAGGGCTCCAGCCATAAAACAGAGTTGCTCTCAGGACCCTGGTTGTGCTAACTGGCCATTTCAATTGGCCTTAACCAGCCTCACCTAGGACATTTCCCCACCCCAGCCACAATGCCCTGCCTACAGACCCAGGAGCTCCTTCTAAAATCAGGCCTTCAGTCTCTGCATCACAGGTGGCTCTGTCTCCCAGGCGGGTTTCAGGGCAAGCCCACAGCATGCAATCACATCTGTCTGTGCCCCATGTTAACTACAGGGCCATGGCAATGTCCCAGGAGGTGACATGGAACAGGTAAAGGTTTGCCCCCCAGCACACGGGGGTGACCCTCTGCCTCAGTGGACCAGTGGTGGCCTGTCTGCAGCAGTGTGATGGGATTGTCCCACGCTTTCCCAAGCATGCTGTCGCTCTTGCTGAAGCAGTGGCAGGGTGTCTCCCCAGCACTGGTACCCCAGGAGCCTCTGTGCACTTACCAGTAGTCATAAGTATCATCCCAGTTGTCAAAGTGCACCAAAAAGCGATTGTCCACCACATCAGTCACTGTGGCAACACAGATCAGGGAAGGGTTCATGCGGTCCACGGCTTCGAGCTTCATGCCCACCTTGAAGCCCGGGGAAGCCTCGTGCTGGGGAGAGAGAGGGGCAGGTTTCTTTCAGAGTCACAGTCCCAGCGCCTTCCTCACCACTTCTCTTGCCTGCTGCAAGGAGGCACCTGCCCAAACCCTCCCAAAACCACATCCTCCCTGGCCTCCAGGCAAGCCCAGGATCACTTTGGATCCCAGAAAGGCAGTGTCCTGCTCTACATGCAAGGAGAGAGGCAGAGGGTAACTAACTCAGCTTGGCCACACAAAGAAAGAGGAAAAGAAATCTTCAGACCCTCAGGAACTTCTATAAGCAGTAACCTCCAAGAGGAAAACAGCCTCCAACTTACACTGATTCAGATTTTGTCACAAAACACTTGTTGCGGTCACACTCCTCCAGTATTAGCAGCAACCAGTGCCCTACGCTGGGCAGGAGGAGCTGGGATGGGGCCCTTCATCCTACCTTGCCTTTATTTCTTGGCTCCAAATCTGCAAAACACTGCATCACGCCCACTAGTGGGATTGTTGCAGCAATGAACAGGAGGGTTTAGACACAATGAATAACTCGGAGAGGCTGGTTTATCAGTAGGTTGTTTCCTCTGCGGCTGACAAAGAAACCATGAGCACTTTGCACTCTATATTTCCATGTTCTGTACCCAAGCTGCCACATGAAAAATAGAAGCAGAGGCAGAAACAATGAAGATGCAAAACAGAAACAAAAGACTTATACTTAAGAAACATTAAGGGAGGGGTTTTAGCAAAGTAATTGTTGAGAGTAGCAGTTGCTTCTCCTCACCAGTACTTATGCAATATATTTAGCTGTTCATGAGACTGACCTAGATGAAACTGTGGACCAGACCAATCTCAATTTCTGGGTACACCAAACAAGTATCCAAGCTACAGATCCTCAGCACCAAAGCATTAAGCATTATTAAAATAACATCTCATTAAGCAATGCCAGCAGTACACTCTGCACTGTGACTTGAGAAGTGTGGGGTGGACAGAAAAAAGCTCAGCACTGGCAGAGGCATTCTGATCTGCTGCAGAGAAGTCACACCTGAAACTGGCTGCTCATGGTTTGGATAGGCGTACGCTTCACTGGGTAACGAACGACCGGGCCAAAAGAGTTGAGGTGAATGGAGTGAAATCCAGTTGGCAGCTGGTCACAAGTGGCTCAGTGCTGCGGCCGGTTCTCTTTAATATCTTTATCAACAACCTGGATGAGGGGATTGAGCGCACCCTCAGTAAGTTTGCAGATGACATGAAGTTGGGTGGGAGTGTTGACCTGCTTGAGGGTAGGACAGTGTTACAGACAGATCTGGACAGGCTGGATCGATGGGCTGTGGCCAACAGTGGAGTTTCAACAAGGCCAAGTGGCGGGTCCTGCACTTGGGCCACACCAACCCCATGGACGCTACAGGCTTGGGGAAAAGTGCCTGCAAAGATGTGGGGCAGAAAAGGGCCCGGGGGTGTTGGCTGACAGCCGGCTGAACACGAGCCAGCAGTGTGCCCAGGCAGCCATGAAGGCCAACGGCATCCTGGCCTGTATCAGGAATAGTGCAGCCAGAAGGACTGGAGAAGTGATTGTCCCGCTGTACTCCACACTGGTGAGGCCACACCTCGAGTACTGTGTTCAGTTTTGGGTGCCGCAGTATAAGAAGTACATTGAGGTGCTGGAGAGGGTCCAGAGAAGGGCAACAAACCTGGTGAGGGGTCTGGAGCACATGTCTTCTGAGGAGCGGCTGAAGGAACTGGGGGTGTTTAGTCTGAAGAAAAGGAGGCTGAGGGGAGACCTTATCACTCTCTACATCTACCTGAAAGGAGGGTATAGAGAGGTGGGCGTTGGTGTCTTCTCACAAGGCACAACCGATAGAACAAGAGGAAATGGCACCAAGTCGCGCCAGGGGAGGTTTAGGTTAGACATTAGGAAAAACTTCTACACTGAAAGGGTTATCAAAGACTGGCACAGGCTGCCCAGGGAAGTGGTTGAATCGCCATCCTTGGATGTATTTAAAAGCTGTCTAGTTATGGTGCTCAGGGACATGGTTTAGAAGTGGGCCCAGAAGAGTTAGATAACAGTTGGACTTGATGATCTTAAAGGTCAATTCCAGCCATAATGATTCCATGATCTTAAAAGTCTCTTCCAAACAAAACGATTCTATGATTCTATGAACCTGCAGGCTTTGGCATGAAGGAGAAACTGCTACTCACAGTGTTTCGGATCATGAAGAGGTGCTTGGGAGCTGCCTGAGCCTTTGTTATCTTCAGGTAGTTTGTCCAGCTGAATTCTTCTTCCTTATAACCTACAACCCCTCAGGAGGAGAAATGAGAGCAGCGAGTTGACAAAGAGCAGCCAGGAGGTCATGAGGCTGAGCCCGGCCACCCCCAACCAGCCCTCACCCTGCCAGGCGTGTCCTGCGTGGGCGGACAGGGTCTACAGCAGCCCTGGGAAACCCAAAGCCTGTGGCTCAGGCCCAATGGCTGATTTCGAAGGAGTGCTAGTGGAGTGGAAATCCAGAGCTCAGCTTCTCCCCAGAAAGCATCAGTCCCACCTGCCCTGGGGAACAGCTGCTGGCTCCAGCCTGGCACGGGGACATCCAGGGTGACAGGGCTTTGCAACCAAAATAAGAGTGAGCAGAGATCTTTAGCGTGATGGGTGCTGGAAAGGTTGTCCTGCAGAACCCCCCTCAGCACAGCAGCATCCCCTTCTGGGTCCCACGGAACCAGCCCATACCCATCTCCAGCTCTACGTTTGGGGGCCCACTAATTGTCCCCCTCCTTCAACAGGACCCTCCAACTGAGACTCGCTAACTCCTTACCTTTCGGTGGTTGGAGTTTGTGCCCTGTCTCTTCAAACCAGCCAGCGGGGTGGATATCGGGGGAGTCTGCATTCAGCCAGAAATCATGGCACTCAGAGTAGCCATCAAAGTGGAGGCGCATCCGGTAACCGCACACCTACCAGCAGGGAGGCAGGAAAAGGAAAGGACCATGGAAATGTCCTGCTGTCCCTGGCTGAGCATCGCACGCACCTCCCCTCCCACACACAGTCGCAGCACTTAGGGAACCCAAGGGTCAATCATAGGTCGGTGCCAAAATCAGGAGGCACATGCCAGTCCCAAAAGATGCCCAACACGGAACACGGTAAGTGCAAGGCCACCACAAGCCAGCCCTAAGAAGGGAGGTTCAGGCTGGTGTGTGGGATGCCATGGTGGGGCACCTTGCTGGGTCCAGCAAGTGCAAAGATTCCCTTTTCTGCACCCAAGAGAGATGCTGGCATGGGGATTTTGGCTAAACACTATGCTGCTTTGGTGAAATCTCTCCAGCAGCAAGAACAGCAGCCACCGTGGTACAGCTGATCTCCCTGGCTCCCTGGGGAGCACTGCAAAGCAAGGCTGGTTCAGCTGCCACATGAATGAGCAGAGAGCCCCACAGACAGGGGGCCTCCACGGACACAAGGAGGAGCAATGGGATGCCTCCACACCCTCCATCTCAAGGGCTCAGACGTATCTGAGGTGCATCAGCTCAAATATAAGAAGCTGTTGCCATCACCTGAGTCTCCCCCTCATGGCTCTGCTGTGTGAGGGTGAGGGACAGACCAACTAGGCTGAGCATGACAACTGTTCCACAGCACTGTCTCCTGCATCTACGAACGGGAAGGAAACTCCCCGTTTGCTTGACCGATGTGTTGGAGTGCCAGCTCATCTCATGCAGCGACATGCAGGCGAGTGCCCAAAGCCTGTCCCCTCCATGGGCCAGCTGGCAGCACCTCCTCTCCCACAGAGCCTCCCGCCGCGCAGGCACGAGGAGGAATCAGGGAACACGGGAACCGGAGGTGCCTTACCTCCGCCACTGTCAGGATAAAGTACATAGATGGGTGCTGCGGATCGATCCCCTCCAGCTTCATCCCCACTTTAAAGCCATTCTTGTGCTGGGAAGCTACTTGGTACTAGAAACAAAAATTAAACTACAATGTAAAAAAAACAACACAGGTACTTGGGTCCAGAACCATCCCAAGGAGCAACCATCAGGCAACGGGAGCTGCTGGGACCAGGAGACTGTGGGCCACAGGTTACGTTGTCGTCCAAATTTTAACTCTTTTCCCATAGAAAAACACATTCTTCCACCTCCTTGTGGGTTTGCGTCTCTTGCTACTGGCAGGGCAGGGTGTCCCTGGGCTAACGGCCGCAGCCGGGGAGAGCGGGGCATGGGCCTGGCTCCACTTGCACTCTGGCAATCAGACGCCTGGGAGCAGGGGTGCAGCGCAGCAGCGTGGCCTCAGGAGAGCCCACACCTGGCTACGAGGAAGGGCTGGAAAGGCTCCACCACCCTGCCAGAGCCACAGGGGTGTCCTAGGCAAACGTGGGGTGCTTGGGATGGGGGACAGCACCCCACTGGGGAGTGGGACTCGGGGCAAATCAAAATCGGAGGCTGACTCATCACCTCCTGGTGAAGATTGGAGCTTGCTTATCGCTCAGAGCCCCGCAAAATAGGGAAGCAAGGAAGAGAGGAGAAGGAGGAGGGGTGGGAAAAAAAAAGGGAAAGAAAAGAGAAGATGAAAGAGGGAAAAAGACAGGAAAATCCCAACTCACATCCTGGAAGAGATCTAAAGGGGCAGCGACAGCTTTCTGCTCCTCCAAGTAGGACGCCCAAGACCAGCCTTCTTTCTTCTCCTCACTGGCACCTGAGCGCAGCACAAACGCACACACAAGAGGTGCTGCTGAGGGTCGGCTCCTGCTCCGTCCCTGCCTGCCTCGGGGCAGTGCGGAGGGCAGGCGAGTGCATGGGTCCCGCTGGGCCCGCGTCCCGCTCTTACGCACCGTCCTGCATCCCTGCGAAGCTCAGCACCATCCTACCAGAGCCCATTCTCCAGCAAACCTGGCCGGCTGTCTGAGGAGGGACAGAGCCAAGAGGCCCCCTCTCACACAGGTCCCCATGACCCAAATGTCCTGTCACTGTACAATGCTCTCGTAAAGCCCCCAAGGAGCCTGAGGGACAAGCCATCCTGTGCAAAGCATCAGGACCTCTGCAACCAGTCCTCCTCCAGCCAGCACATCTGAAAAGGCCACAGCACTGATGGATTTGGGACAGCCAGCAGGATCCATCCAGAGGTCTGGGAATCACTCCCAGCTGCAAGGGGCTCCCAGCCTGTCAAACCAGCAGTGGGCCCACCTCCCACCACTGCTCCAGAGGCACCAGCTCTGCTATCCTCTGCTCCAAGACTACTACCTCAGCCCCGTCTTGGGATACCAGGGCCACCGTGATGCCCTAGAGATGATGCATTTACCCTCGTGGTATTCACAAAAGAAGACAGCATCGTCTCTTTATAGGCAGGGAGGTGATCCTTCATGCCTTCAACCCCTTTGGGAAGGCCACAAAGGTCTTGCCTGAGGCACATGAGACACAACCCAAGTCTCTTGCTCTCCAGCCACTTTCTCTCCCTGCTTCATTGCACCCGAAGGGACTCCAGGAGTGCTGTGCCTAGTTCAGCACTGGGTAATTCACAGCTACAGGTCAGGCATGGCAGACAGCCTTGGGTAGGGCAGGCCAGAAATGCGGGGGAAAAACAGATCAACTCCTTCCTCCCTTGGGCTTGGGGGAAGCAGAGATGGAAAAAATAGGAACTTGAGGAAGAAATTAAAACTGAGCTTCAGCAAGCAAGGTTACTAACCTAGATGCTTCACTAATACTTAAGAGTGATGAACACATTTATTATTCTTTAGGACATAGAAAAAAGTGGCAGACACGTTTCAGGAATCCATAAGGACAAGCTCTGCACTTCTGGAGAATGACAAATACACCTGGAGATAGAGCATACATCGACTCTGCTGCACTGAAGCATCCAGCCGTGTATTTTGTTTGCTGATGTACTTCTAAAATAAGAGAAAATAAAATGCTGAAATAACAAGGCTCAGCACTGCTTACTTGTATGCAGCAGGGAAGGTTACATGCTAAGGGCTCAGATTGTAGAGAAAAGGACCTGGCAAGCAAGTATGAGATCCCTTTTTAATAGTGGTTAACTCAGTGTAACATCAGGGATTAACATCTGGCCGCTGCTACTGTCCCTACATTTGGCTACGGAGAGGAGTATGAAGCTGGAACGGTTTCATTTTAAAATTACTTTGAGCATGACCTTTCACTATTCAAAGACAAATGGTTTCCCATAAATGTTTATTTTCAGTATTGACCCAAGGTTTCCTTCCCCCTTGCCCCCATCGCACTGCAAGGAAAAAGAAAACAAACAAGCAAACACTGCATCTCTCAGCTTGAATCCTTTCCCTCTGTGTCAACAGCTCTGCATTTGAGATCTCCTTTGATACGGTCCAGGAAAAGATCCCCAAAAGATAAGACAACCCCAAATCAGCCACCTTCAGTGGCACCAGACCTACAGGAGCAGCTCCCAATCTTGTGAGCTCCCGACCACGAGGGAAGCTCCCTGTAAGACCATCCAAAGGGAGGACAAAGCCAGACATGGCACAGAGCCACATTATTGCTCAGGATAGTGCCTCTCAGAGCAAACACGGTATCCACGAGCAAGTAATAAAATCAGCTTCCAAGGGGAGGGACCAGAAAGCACTGTACAGTACAGCTCAATGCCTGAAGAAGACACAGCCGTATCTGTAAGGGTGCACCCATCCCATGGAGAGAAAGAGAGGAAAGGAGAGAAATGGAAAGAGACAGAGAGAGCAGGATCAAGCAAGCAGAGGAGCTTACAAGCCTTCAGGAACATGTACCAGCGCATTGCACTGTGTGTTTGACTCTGCTGGAGCACCAAAACGCTGTCCCAGCCCTGCAGCACTGCAGCAGGACCCCACAGCCATGGCAGGAGCGCTCACCCCACCGCCCGCCCGGCCCCTCCATACCGTGCTGGCTCCCATTCCATGCATCAGTCCCTGGATTGCTGACAGATGTGTCTCCTGCTGAGTTTTTCCTCTCTTCCTGCTTTTCCTCCTAGACATGAGAACAGACAAACAGAAATCCGTCATGTCGGAGATCTGCACAGAGGTTTATGCCACCCTCACACTGGTGCCAAGGACCATACTATGCCTCTGCAACATCCATGATTTCACTGCTGCTTGGCCCAGAAATGGGCAGCCAAGTGGATCTGACAATGGGAGCCTGAAGGGGGATTTTAGTGCTATGTGGTAGCAATCACGCCTGGAGTGGATCTGCTGCAGTCAGGGCTGGCAAGCAGAGCTTCCTTGCCTTGTCAAAGTCTCTCTCCCTTCTCCGGGACACACATCACACAGACAGACACTCTCTTACTTAAACACTTACTTTGGTGGCCAGACTCAAGAGAGCAGTTGAGAGCGCTAGATACCTATGTTGTAGTAAAATTGACATAAACTAGGAAAATGAAATGTAAAATGTAATTGAAGCAACCAAGGAAACCTGCTGCTGCTTGTCCTCTGTACTGTCCCAACCCTATGTAGTTATTTACCTAATATCAAAATAGAGCAATAGTAAGTACACATGATTAAATTAAGGAACTAACCACCAGACAATGCAGCTTTGCTGATAAGCAGGGTATTCCTGTCAAGAGAGTGATGAACTGTGGGCCTGGTCAGCAAACTGAGCAAACCACTCAGAACTGCCAAGATTAGAGAAGTAGGTAAAAGGGAATTTCAG